ATCTATACAAATGTGCGGTTTTCTCCTTTTTAAAAAGTATTTAGCATGCGAAAAAAGATTATATCATGAAAAGTGTTACCGAGACATCAAAGCAACCACAAATTCATTAATCTGTTGCCAAAATTCGAGCTGGAGATTTTCTGGCACTCTCTGTGCCAGCGATTTACATCCGCAATTCACTATCGCGGCAATTCGTTGTCAGTGATATGTACACGACGCTCGCGAAACCCGCGCCAGTCCCTCTTTTTATTGTCGCGACGAGTGACGTCAATAGCCGCTAATCTTGGAGCTCACTTCCGAAAATTATGACGCTCGCAACGCGGACGTTTAGGGTGATTATTCGTTTGACGATGACATACGGCTGTCTCTTACTTTTTTCATTCGCATTACGCGAGAATCTCTATTAAAGAAACATGATTTATTTTACGGTTATAAAATATAGAAAATCTTAATAATATAGGACATATTTAATTTTTAATATTTTGTTAAAGTAATATATTTAAGTTTTGCGAAATTCGAGAACGAATTTTTAAAAAAATTTAAAAACTAATTATACATTTAGCAAAAATATCTTTATCAAACATTTTTTATTATAAATGTAATTTATATAAATTGAAATGTTTTAAATTTAAATAAGATTAAATTAATTTTTGTATATAAAGTCCTTTTTTTATTTCAGTATTATTTTTAAACAGTTTTATGTGCAAAATAGATCAATCATTTAGCTGATAGTATCGTTTTTTTACCTAATGAAAATTAAAATAATTTTAGTTTAATAAAATTTAATATTTATGTGTTTGCGCGCCGAAATTATAGAGCCTAAGTATCAATGTCGATCGTGAAAAAATACGACCCAGGCGGAGCTTAAATAAGATCGTCTACAAAACGTAATAATGCAGATGTAAGAGCACGGCCTACATAAATCAGAGCAAATTTCCGCCTGAAATATCGACTACTCGCACGGTCTTACGGATTCTCTCCTCGGCGATTCTTTATCGCAAAAACCCAAGATATAGTCGGCAATTCTTGGCGTATAAATAGTGCTTTGATATAGTAGAAGGCTGCTATTGTTACCCTTGACCGGCACTGCCGATCGCAAAACACGGCAATTGTCGACGGCAATCATCGTGTTTTTCCCGACGGGAGAAAGAAAAACCGCTCGTTTGTCGATGAATTGCACAGCCACGAATCGCGCGATTATGGTAGCTAGCAGTTTTCCCGCCCACACTTTTCCTCTTCTCTTCCCCTTTACTCTCTAGTTCCAAAGGAAACCGCATGTTCGATCGTAATGACGCAACTCGCACGACCCCGTCGTTGTCGTCGCATGTCATTGTTTCTCGCATTATCTACTCCCAAAGACGTCAAAGTTGCATAAGCCCTTGCCAAGGTTGAAGGGCGTAGTAAGTGCCTTGGAAAAATGGTTGTAATTTAGTGTATAATAAAATAGTATAAATAAATTTAAACCTTTTGACTTTAGCGAGGACTTATGCAACTTTGACGTCTTTGGAAGTAGATAATGCGAGAAACAACGACATGCGACGGTAACGACGGAATCGTGCAAGTTGCGTCATTACGATCGAACACATGCGCGGTTTCCTTTCAAACTAATAAATTGAAACTAATAATAAAATAGTATAAATATTATTTATACTATTTTATTATACACTAAATTACAACTCTCTATATATAACATGTAAAAATGCGTACATGAAAAAATTCATAGCAATACATATACACGGAAAGAACGATGTTGCTGAAGCATTCAGAAATTTAGCTAAATACAGAAAATAATTTTATTGGTCAAAATTATTTTTAGATAGGACACCAAATTTTTAAATAGAATACTCAAATTGCTAAAATGTAACACATTTTTTTATATTCTAGTAATCAGTTCGACTTAAATGTCCTATCTAAAAATTTTGATGGTCTAACAGTCTAATAAAATTATTTTCAGACCTGTATCTATAGCTACATTTTTTGATACTTGAGTAAAATTATTCTCTCTCCATGTACGAAAAAGACAGTTTTAATCTAAAAATTCAACTTAGATATAGATCTGAAAATAATTTTATTGGACTATCAAAATAATTAAGTAGGATTCTTAAACTGATTATGGAAATGTTGAAATTTTTACAACATTTCTCCTCATGCTCGAGTTTCCTAATAATTATTTTAATAGTTCAACAAAGTTGTTTTCAGATCGGTGTATCTAATTTTTTTGATTTTTTTTTTTTTAGCAAAATTATTCTTTTTATATCAATACATACATGGAAAGGATGATTTTGCTGAGGTATGTAAAAATTTAGCTGGATATAGATCTCAAAATAACTTTGTCAGGGGAGGGGGAACCATCAGAATATTTGTGTAGGATTCTCAAACTGGTTGCTGGAATGTCGAACTTTTTGCAGCATTATTTATCATGGTTGAGATTTCTATAACAGAATTATTTTGATAGTCCAACAAAATTACTTTCAGATTTTTATCCGGCCAAATTTATAGATACTTCAGCAAAATCGTTCTTTTCGCGTAAATGTTCTGTAATATAGTATCACTTTTTACTTTTTAGATCTAATGTTGTATCTTTAAAGTGATTCATGACGCAGGTTATTTCTATACACCCACGATTCCAGGTTTCATCCAGATTAATGAGCCTGGTTTAACGATATCAGACATCAAGGTCGTTATGCGGAGAGATACAAAAAAGAAAGGAAATCGTCGCTCGAAAGATACGACTCTAGTTAATCGTGTCAAAGGATTAACACTGACAACGTTGTCTTATTACTGTTTCCCAACTGACTGACTTTCAGAAACGACCGCTGAGTTATTAACTCCGCGATGAATTAGGTCAGCTTGGTGTATCGAATTATTTGCCGAGGGATCAGTCGGTTCTGTTCACGAGAGAATGTACATTTTGGTATAGAAACTCATACCCACATGGAAAGAACGATTTTGTTAAAATATCTAAAAATTGGTCAAGATACATATATCCGAAAATAATTTTGTTAAACTATTAAAATAGTTTTGTAGAACGCTCTGCTTAATGAGCAATGCTGCAAAAAAATATTGACATTTTAGTAATCAGCTTAAACGTCCAACAAAATTATTTTTTAAATTATTAAATATATTTTTAGAATTATTAAATCTGTAACTAAATAACTAAAAATCGGGATATTTCTCTATGGTTAAAAAAAAATTAAAATTAAACAAGCAGAGATGATAGAAACAAAAAAAGAAAATTTTAGAGCCACGAAATAAAAGCTTAGCTTTCAACATGACCGACTTGTCAAAAACCACAAAATGCAATCTTTCAAAATTCCGAGTAGATATGCAACGACCTTAATGTATGTATAATATCGCCGCAACGGATACGGTTCGCAAAAAGCTCCGGGCGATCTGCCGGTTGACGCAACGCCGGTTTTAGAATCTGTTAATTTAGCAGGGGGAAGGGGCTTTTTGCGTGCATTGATTAAGCGCGCCGTGCGATAGAAGCGTCTCGATTATAAATAATTTCGTTCCAGCGGCGCGTTTTGCTCCGTTTGGTTTACACGTATATATACACATACATATACATATATACAGGACCAGTCGACGTAAGAACTGCAATATTGCGCGGTTCTGTGCAATGACAGTAGACGCACAGTTTGCATACATCTATATAGTCGCGCAGTCGATGTTTGGGCTTAGCATTGGACACGTTGGCACACATATTCAACCTCGTTTTTGCTTTGAAGCCGCTCGTCGTTTGGGGATCTCCCTTTGAGTCAAATGCGGCTTGGCCCACTTCAGTTGATCATCCCCGACCGTCGACCAAAACGCTCCCCGCATGTTTATACCATGAGAAATATTCGCGAGACATGCCGCGAAAATGCGGCACGTCCGACATGACGATAAGTTTACGAGTCCGGGATTTTACTACTTCCGAGCATATCTTTTCCCCGCGAGACACCCCACTGAGAACGATGGCGAGATTCGGCGGGTAAACAATTGTGAGATGTCGCAAAAGGATGTTAAACTCGGATGAAAATCAACATATATATATTCGAGAAGAGAAGATTCTTTTTTGCTACTTTTAGGAATTTTATACGACAATTTCGTTTCTTGCATAGTTTGCGTTCTGAATTTGAAATCACAATTTTTCCTCACATTTTTCTTTATTTTTCTCATTGAATATTTTTGTAATATTTATTAATATGATCCATGATATTTCCTGAAACATTTTATTATTTTAATTATTATTACGGAATTTTTATATGATAATTAATTATTTTTATATAATAATAAATTATCGCAATAATATGATAATATAATAAATTTTCATAGAAAGTATCATTATAACAATTAAAGTAATAAAATATTTTAGAAAATATCAGAAATTATATTAATGAATATTGATTGCGTAATAAATGTAATATTAAATTTCCCTCTGTGCTCTCTCTCTCTCCACTTTATTTTATTAAGTATCCTATGCATTATGCAGGGTAAAATAAAAATAGTTTAATATTATCATTTGTATAATAGATATTTATTATCTTCATAAACAAAATAGGCATTGTGCGTGAGTACACATTGCGTGCTACAAATAGAGTGCGCCTTAAATACAGGAACATATAAATATGTAGAATAATTTCGTTATTCATTAAGTACCTTATCAAGCACTTCCCTGTTTTATTCATACACAGCACACAACGTCGATTATCTTACAGATTGTGCAACTTTCCTTACATCTAATTTTAATCTTGATTCGCAGCAAAAACAACAGGGGGTTTTCCGAAATGAAAGGGTAATAAGCACGTTTTGCATATCGCAAATATTCGTGTATCCATTTTGTTCTATTATGCTAAAGAATCTCATGAAAATTTTATGAAACGTTAAATATGTATATCTCGGGTTTAATTAATTAAAAAAATTGTACTCATTTCATTCCTAGCTTCGCAATATTTTCACAATTATTTTTTTGTGAAAAAGCCGAGCTTTTCCAGCTTGTCATCAAATCACGGAGATTCCATATTGAACCATTTTTATTATTACAACACTCTTATAATATACGTGTGTAGTATCTTTTTAATAAATAAGTAATACTAATACATAAATATCAGAAGGCTCCAGCCACTTTCCGACGAGAATCGTGAGAGGGCCACTAATTCTCAAATCGTGCTCACGATTATTTCCGGAATTCTCATTCTTCTGATCAATCGCTCGGACAATCGCAATCAAACCAATTTCATGGCTGAAACTCGAAGCTGTTACTGTAAAAATAGACGACAAAGCTAGCTCGACTGCCGAATGGACGGCTAAAATACGTCGCGATATTTCTACCCGATTACTATCCGAGACTATAAACGAATCACCACCGTCGGCAGACCAATGGAAATCGATACGTGTGTCAGACTCGATCTACGGGTTGCCGCTCTTCGACGATATAATGTGAAAAAGATGCGCGATCAATAATGAAATGAATAATATAAATACTCACACAGATCGTACGGAGATCATAGCCGAGTCTCCGATCGGTTCTTCTGAGATTAGCTAATAAAAAAATAGCTATCAGAAATTCCACGGTTTTAAACTTGTAATACCGATCCGCGAGTTTGTCTAATATGATCATAACAATGTGACGCGTGAAATTGATTGCGAAATGTGCGCTGATGAACGTGAAATTGGATACGAAATGTATATTTTACAAATAAATAAATAGAAAGAATCAATAAATAGAGAGTTATAATAAAAAAGAAATTAATTAAAATTTCTTTGTCGCGTCACCAATTGGTGATTATCTGCATTGGTGATGGATTAAATGACATTCGCGGACAGGATGATAGACGAAGATATGTTATATTAACAATTAATGACGACAGTAAAGGAACGTGGTCCATCGATGCCGTGAAACGATCCGAACCGGTCGGACCGAACCAATTACGAGTCTTGATCACCCCATTCGAATTCCTCGCCGGAAGTAACCTCCTCGACCTGTCCGTCGTCAGCTGCCGTCGGTCCTGTTTGCGGCTTGCTCTCGGCCCCTTCTGGCTCCTCAACGAACGGATCTTCGGTCATCTCGGGCTCCTCTTCGTGGACATTTTCTTCTTCGACCTGAAAGGCGAATTCCTTGTGATTCAACTCACATTCAATAGTATTCCGAGAAATTTCTCTTCGACTATCGGTTCTTGAATGAGTTCAAACTGGATCCTTTCTCCACAGAAATTCAATAAGCTATTTGGACACGAAGTTGCTAAGTGTATATCTGAACTTATATAAAGGAATGGAGTTTTTAAAAAGCTTAGTAAAATCTAATCTTAATATTACATTTTTTTGTACACTTGTAATACATACTTTTTTTTGTATTGTTTAGAGTGTTTAGACTGATTCAGGATTGCTCATATTGAATATAAAAATCGATAAAAGGGATTTAAAAAAAAAATTTTTTAAAAGAACAATACTTAAATGACAATTTACCCGTGTTTCGTCATCCGTGGTAACATCATAAGGTTTCTCTTCCTTTTCTTGATCAGTTATTTCGCCAAGATCCGCCAGATCCTCGGCGCAGCTGGCATCTTTGTTTTCATTGGCTACAAACTGCGTGACATCCGCTTCTTCCTGCTCCTGCTTTTGCTTTTGAATTTCTTCAAGATGCTCCTCGACGATTAATCGTTCTTGCTCCTGTATAAGCGCGTCGATATTCGCCTGGTTGATTATTCTGTTAATAAGAAACAAATTAGGTTCTAACAATATACAAAACAATATATAGAAATAACAAACATAAAAAAACAAAATAAATATTAAGTTCCAGTAATTTTCAATAATATTAGATATAAAGCTAAATTTTTTATCAATATTCCAAGTGCGTTATAAGTTATATTAATATTTAATCAATGTAATTATTTTATTTGAATTTTATATATATTTTAAAATAATTTTATTTAAAAGAGTCGTATAATTTTTATTGTTTATATACTAATTATTAATTATATATAGATATTCTCTTCTTTCATTTTAGTTATTCTCAATTGATAATAATCAGCTTCTAAGTGAAATAAAAGCTTGCTTTATGTGTGGGACCTTTTTTATAAAGGATAATTCGTGAATCACTACGAGAGCTTTCTTCTAACAATAAGTAACAAGCTTACCTTTCCTCGTCTTCTATTCTCTTCGTTTCCTCGTGTTCAGCTTGTAACTTTTCCTCTTCTGCTTTCCTCTCAGCTTCTTGCTGCTCGATTTCCAGTATCTGGCAAAGATCGGCTTTCCGTTCCTGTGCAAGCTGCAGAGCCTCCCACGCTTTCTTCTCCTCCAACTCAAGCTGTAAGCGTTCCTCCTCCGCTGCCTTCCGCCTTTCCTCTTCCGATCTTCAAAACAAAGTTATTTGCAATTGGGGAAATTGCTCGGACGCGACAAACAAGCAAACAATGTAAATGTAGAATATAAATAAAAACCACTCATGAAAGAATTAAAAGTCTGTATATAAGAATTAGAAATTTAAAAGTAATAAGAGAAACTTATAAGAATACTGCTATCTTTATTTTGATATTAATTAAGGATTTGTAAACTTTTATATTATTATTTTTTCACGGAAAAAATATTAATATTCGCTAATCTTAAATCACAATTTCGTTTCTCATTTCAATTGGGTTATCTGAATTTTCTTAAGGTAGTTATACCCTAAAACATATTATTCAAGAATGTCTTGAAACTTTCGTTTCAAGTAATTTAGGTATTAATACATATGCCTGTAAAATTTGAGCTCGATTTACCGTCCCGTTCTTAACCGATCAAACTTCGCAAATTTTTTTATATTTAATTGTATAGCCATTTCCGCCGTAATATGATACGAATTTTCAATTTTCATATAGCATCGAAACCGCATTCAAGAAGTTAATAAAAAACGAATCTTATGTAGTTGAATTTATGAAGAAGCATGTGCAACAAGACCGCAAATATTCACCATATGATATTAAAGTTTGAGTCAATAAAACACCTTAATTTTATTCTCTCGAGAATTGACGAAATAGTAGGTATGACAACGTCGTACTTTCAATGACAATATGATTGCCATCATATAGATTTGGTATATCTCGTTTCTCATCAAGAGTGATGTTATGCCATTTTTGTCGTTTCTTCGCAAGAATCGCTTTGCATTTTTCTTTATATCGTAATTGTGCGGACATTTTTGTCTTTTATATAAATATTTTAACAGCGATGTTTCGGTGCTTGTGCCTGTTACTGTATTCGTCTACTCTTAAAAATGCGACGTTACCACGATCTAATTTCTCTTATGTATTACGCGACGTAGATTTTCTTTCTTCTCTTAAATTAACTTATTTCATCATTATTTAATATTGTAAGTGTATAAAATACATTGTTTTTTTATTCTTAGATTTTACATAACAATATATTGATTTAAATTTAGAGTTACGTTTGAGTTCGTCGTTGATTCGCATTTGAACGAAGTTTATATATGAGATATTATGAGAGTGTAACGAAGCTACAAATTTTAATATTTGAAATCGTTAATTAGAAAAACATGCTGGTGTATATAGGAAAAGTTATCCATCAAGTTTTTTAATGAAGCTCGCATTCCAGATTTTTCGATACGCGTTTCTCACATATTTGATCGCAACTATGACTGCATGAATGTAAATATGTTTTTTCCCGGAAAGTTTCCTTGTTATATATATGTTGAAAATTTATATAAAACATATTTATATCTAAAATTATCACCGATATACTACCACACTAGTAACCTGACGTCGTCATTTTAATAACATAGATGTCATTTTTTCGTCAAAATGACATGTCATTTTGACGAAAAAATGATATATAGGTAATGACTTTGAAACGGCTTGCTAGATAATATTATCGAGTTTGATATTAAAACAACTGTTCACTGTACTTCAATTATTTTAGAAATAATATTTTATTATTCTTTATGCTAAAAATTTTGAAACCTTATTATGTAAAAAAATGAATATTCTTAACAATTAATTATTACATTAAATTATGCGTTTTCGAACAGAATGACGTTTTACGAATAGCGAGCGAAGGTCGGATATTTGGCGAGTCGATTATCGCGGGTCATATACTAGGTTATTTGGCCGAGTTCAATGCTAATGTTACGCAAAACATCTGCGTTTATATCGAGTGACTATTTTGCGCGATTGGCTTGTTACTGGCGTATCGTTCTTAAATTAAAGTCGCTTACTGCGCTTCTCTAGCCGCTTTAGCAAGATACTCCTCGGCCCTCCGCATAGCATCTTCCTTGTCTTGCTTCACTGCAATATAAACTCATTAGAATATCAGCGATAAGGATAAATTTTTATGAAATTTACGATGCATGTTTAACGCTAAAGATAATGTTGCAATCTTATCCATTTTACATATACCATGATATATCGAATATATACATATATATTATATAAGCACAAAATTAAAAATATCTCTACGAATATACGTATATATGTATGTGTATATATATATTTATTTATTGATTATAAAATTAATCTAACTATTTTAATTAAATACTTAAATAATGGTATCAATATTAATATTCATATTAATTTCAGAGCCTTTATTTCATGTGAATTAAAAGTAATGTTTTTAAATAGATAGTCTCTTTAAATAGAGCTTTAAAATTAGAACCAGTTTCACATTCGAAAGTGTGTTAAAAGTGCATCGTGAATATGGACCAAAATGTGTTTATCCATTGCAGTTATATCTATTTTCTAATTCGATATTATCTTGTATAAAATAATTTCGAGCATTACGAAAATAGGATGAGACATTTCACGAGGTAATCTTGAAGTCATTTTTATGGGGAAGACATTTATCATAAAAACAGGCAAAAGAAACACTGGATGCTATTCTAGACTAGACACATTCATCCTCGACCGATATGGGAAATGCTGTTAACAACGACACAAACCATGATCGACCTTCTGCCTATTTCAACCGATACCAAAAGATATCCACCGTTTGCGTGACAGACTCATTTCCGGTCGCCGAAATGAAATATTTCCGGCCCACAATATCGACCAAAATATAAACGTACCCTTTTCTTCCTTAGCTTCATCACTTACGGCCTCTATACTTTCGATTGGCACATCTGCTGGCATTTCCGGTTCCGGCTCTGAAACAGGTTCTGGTTCCTGCACCGGCTCGGGCTCCGGTTCCTTTATGATTTCTGGTTCTTTTACAGGTTCCGGTTCTACTTTAGGCTCGGCTGTTTTCGTGTATTTTGCCGATTTCGCCGATTTTGATGCCTTCGTCGGTTTCGACGGTTTCACAGGTTCCGCAACAGGTTCCGGTTCTTTCACAGGTTCAGGTACTGGTTCAGATATTGGTTCTGGCTCCGGCTCGGGTTCTGGTTCGCGAACCGGTTTCGGTTCTTCCTCCGGTTCCGGCTTCTTTTTCGCTTTCTCCGATTTTTCTTCCGATTCCGGAACGAGAACTACGACGTCACAGTATGAAGATGAACGACAAATAACAGAAAGGAATTAATCTGGATTTTGTTATTTTACACAGAGACTTACTTTTTTTTTCCTGGGCTGTTGAGTCGTAGCCTAATGCGCGTACTAAAAATTGTGAGAAGACGTTAGTGGGAGATACAAAGAAAGGATCACAGTAAAACATCAATTACAAAAACATATAAGTATTCGAGTTCCTCGATTAATCAAAATATAACTTTCAACTGGTTTTATTGACGAATATATAAAAGTTGTGAAACTAATTAGCTTAAAATTTTAATATAAATATAATTTAATATACAATGAAAAGAAATAAATTATTATTATTTATAATATGCTCTTTTACGGATATTTACAAAAATAATAATATACTTTTCAAATAATATTTATATGTATCTTTGCAATATTAGTGACATTATAATAGAATACAGAAACATTAAATAATTCTATTATAACAATTAATAACAGGAACTTACATATATTTTATTGAATTATTTTTGCGCATTCATGTATTTCTTTTCAATTTCAAAGATATATAGAATGTTAATATGATGTACGCGAATGTAATTTTATATGCTTATGTAAAGTTTTAACACATGAATCATATCCTGTATATTTACGTGATTTATGTGTGACATAAATTTATTTCTCAGTAAATACGTCCCCACGATCGCGACTTTTCTACTGGATTTTACTCTTCCGTTATCTCAAAAAATTATTTTGTGTATGCCTACTGACCCTTTCGCATCTCTCGTTCTGTCATTGGCTGACCCGAGGCTGTGGGATGCATGAAACATAAAGGATCGATTAGCACAAAGGATTCTTTTGAAGCTCATGACGTAAATCTAAGGAAGCAAGACTTCTCAGAACGTGACGTTAGAAAGCTATTACTATGATTACATACATATACAACATTGATGTGAAAAACAATTGATGAGGCATGTTCGTTAGCTAATTATATGTAGATTATGTAAAACAGAAATGCACAATTTTATGTACATATATGGCGATATGCAACGAATGAATAAAAAAGAGAAATAAGTTATAATAGTATTAGCAATGGAAACATTCTGGGCTATGTTCAAATTCCCACCCGAGTGTTACTCAGCTATCATTTTGTTGTTTGTTAAACTGAACGTTAAAACAACGTTAAACAAGGATGATACCTGGGGAACACTCGGTTAGAATGTGAACGCATCCCTGAGGATTAAGGATGAATCATCGAGTTCATTTTCGAAATTATCACAAACGTTGATGTCTTATCGTCAATGAGGTAATTAATGATATCACAATTCTCATCTTTTCTCGTGAAAATGATTCACTGATCGTCACAGCTCGTGACGTTAGAGATCACACTCGGTCACATCTAGTGATTGATTTGTCGGATTTTTGCCTCTGAAACCAGATATTTATAATCGAATATTTTCAGATTATATAATTAAATAACTTTTGTATTTTAATCTTCTTCAGTTGTATATCGCTCTCTTACTTCACAAGTAACATAAAAAATATGATTTTTCGAGATATTATGAATAGTTAAATAAGCATTATCCTATCAATCATCACAAGTAGACTAACTTAATCGAACAAAAAATTGTTAATTTTGTCACAACTAGAAAAAGATAACTTTTTAAACACTATTTGATTATTTTTCGAAACGAAGATGACAAAAATGATATTTATTTATGTTAAGATGTTATTTTTACTAATATTTTTTGATTAGACAATAATTTTCTGTTCAGTTAAAAATACTCTGAACTCTTTCTGGAAAATTTAATTATTTAAATTATGTTACTCTTTTGAAATAAGAGAACAATATTTATAATGTAGATTTATCATTACACGAAATTTTGTCAGAAATTAAGAAACATCTTAAGAAAATAATTATTAAGTGCATTATGATTGAAATAGCTTTCGTTAAAATTTAAATCTTTTTATGTCTAAAGAAATATATTTTTCAACTAGAATGTTTAAAATGTACTGAAACAATTATTCAGGCTAATTCACTATTTTTTTTTCTTTCCAAAAACATTAATACTAATCAATTCTACAAATATTTGATTTCAGAGACAAAATGAGACGTCGTTGGTTAAACTACGAAGCACACGAAGAAGCTTACCTCGGAAATAGTGCATTTATTCGTTATGTAGCTCGCCTACGTTTCCATTATTCTCTCTCGTGCAAAGTAAAGTAATTGACTTGGAGACTCGCTTCCATCGGACATTATTATTTTATTCGTATGTTTTTCTTTTGCTGCTGTTTTACACAAGCATGAACAAGATTTAGAAAATTGAAACAATAACGAATATCATAATGCGATACGTGCAACATCGGGTTAGTGTCTACATTTTTATATTTGTTTCTTTTTTTTTTTAATGAACGCGCGCAGCTCTCACGGCTTTTTGTCGCATCAATTTAATCGGTTCTCTTTTCTTCTGTCTCTTTCTCATACTCTGTTCTTTCGTTCGTTTTACTTCGTAGATCGCATCGATCGAACACTAATCATTTTGATAGTCACGACAATTTTACACGCCCGTTGCAATTTCATTAAAGTCCATCGAGTAAAAGTTGAATGAAGAATGCTCGGAAAATACAGCACGTTCTATGATTATTGCGAATATCGGCATATTGGACTTTAATGAAGCGGTCGACGAGCACACGACTGGAATAGAAGAAAGGAAAAATAGAAAAAGTGGAGACGGTTATTAGATTTTTTCGATCATAACTACCCCCATCATAGTCGTGCGCAGTAAAAGAATTCCGTTTGAAGAGGTGTTTTGCCAGGCTTGCGAACCGAATATAAAACCGTATTTAAAAGAGAGATAAAATTTTAAAACTGACATGTACAAACTCTCAGTCGATTGCTGTAACAAAGTTAAAAATAAAACTAAAATGCTAATGTTAAATTTGTATAAAGTTATTTCATTTGCGGCGAAAATCTTAATATACTTGCATACTTAGGTCTGCCAAACAGTTTTATTTCAGAAAATGATATTTTATTATTGATACAATTCAAATCACTCCTACATGAGATCATATTTGTATAATATTTCGTATCATCTAGTTTGGTTTCGAAAATTCTATTCTTCTCATTATTATTACTTCTCTATTTTTGCTAATTTAAAATTCATTATTTTTTTTAACATAAATTTATCAAGCACCATTTTATCTATCTAACTTTGATTTTCATATATTTTAATCATTTAAACCTCATTGACGTAAGGCTCGCTTAAGAAATTGAAGAATAAATTCTTATCGTAAAAAGAAGGTAGAGAAATCGTTTTCGGTTTGCAATCCTGCAGCCTCCGCGTGTCGCACGATGCCTGTCGTATCTTTTCACGCGCGGATACATCACTTCCGGAACGCAAAAGCGGACGATATGATGCCACAGTTTGTGTGATGATGAACGACGAAGATCAAAGTCACTCCTCGGCGGTCTCCATCCCTTCTTCCTCTTCTTTGAGCTCGCTTTTCTTGCTCGGCTTCTGGTACAGCTCCGGCACCTTCTGCCTCCAACACTTGCCTGAAACGTTCAAAAAAGCCGCACTGCTTCCTCTCTTTCATTTTTGCTCTTATCCGCGAGCGCCATAAAATTCTGCTTTAGGCGCGTGATCCCAGTTTGATGTTCCACCTGGAGTCTCCGTCGTGTAAATGTCTTGCTCTCTCTCGTTCCTTCGTTTCTTTTGATTTGGTTCACGGTTTTCTTTTTGGTCACTATGTCGTTTTCGCTGTGTTTTTCGGTTACCGCAATAAAAAAATTGAGATATGTCCGTTGGTTCGTAAAAAAGGGATGCGAACCACTGCCGAATCGATGGATTGATCTCACCGATATAGTCGGTGATCAAATTAATTTTCGGAAAGAGCATATATAATTCAATCTTTTTATGAATAAATAAAAAAAATATATATTCATTTTTTAAATAAAATTTTGTATCAAACTTAAAAATATATAAATTATTTTCCACAAAAAAAGGTTATAACTGGAATTAATATTTATGCTCTTACCGTGAATATCTTACCGTCAATTCAATTGCACGTTCTTTCCGCAGAATTATAATAATAATAATAATAAAAACGCGCTGTCACGATATCGCATGAAGAGGTGGTTATCAAAAACGGATGCGGGGTACGTGGGGAGTAAGTGTATACGTTGCTGTTGTACGATTAGACACAATACTATCGAACAGTAATGCAGCCACGACAAAAAAAGACGTACAAAAAGAAAGATCAATTGTTGTGTGACCAACAATAAAACAGCAAAAATACCAGAGAAACACACGTGCTCGCTAGCACAAACAAAAGTTTTCAGTAAAGTAAACCAAAGGTGCCAGCCAATCCAAGTAAAGGGATGAAAAAAAAAATTTAGAAACGAGAGGGCAGGGGATGGAACGAGAAAAAAAAAGTAGACAAAAAGAGAGTTGCACACAACGGCGTCGTGGGGCCGTTTTTTATTTTTTCAAATCTATTCAAAAATCATGTTTCGAGCCGCGAGAACGTAGCGAAGCTATTTTTTTAACGTCACCCTTTTCTTTAATGAGTATGATTTTTTTGTAAGTAAAACTCAAATAGTGGGTGAAATTCTGTGAAAGTAATTACTTTGAAGTTTCTCAATAAAAATGTTAATAGCATATTTAAAAAAATATAAATTTTTATTAAATATCAGCTGCAATTGAAAACAAATTTTAATCATCAAAAATTATAAATATGTAGTAATAAAAATTATTATATGTGTAATTTAAAAAAAAAATTCTTCGCTCCGTTTTCGTCGGTCTCCCGCCTCTAACTACGTGTTTCGTGATGTATGGATTTATCATCGTGTGTAACATCGTCAAGACGGGATTGTTCTCGAATAGCATTTCATTTCCAAACAGCAATTTTTGTAGAGATTGAAATGCGAATTGCGATACAATTCCCGTCTTCGTCGTTGTCGTCGTCATTGTCATCGTTGTCCTCGTCACCGTGATAAATTACTCACAGGCAGTCGCGGCCGCCTGACGATTCTTGCTGTAGTAGCTGAGGAAGTTGACGTCGTTGCGGATGTCGGCCGGCCGAAGGTCCGCGACCTTATAGTATGGTTTTCTGACGGACTGCGGCCTGCCGGCGACGTACTTGATGCATGCCAGGGTACCAAATGCGCCTCGATCGGGCACTTCGTACCAACTCAGATAGTCGACCTGTTTCTTCGCGTTGCTGCGGCCGCTGAGCAGCCGACGGACATAATCGTGGCTGCGCATACGTTCCGGGATGATCTCCTCGATGAAGTCGCTGGAAATCGCAAAGAAAGCGCTGATTATCTTAATATGAAAATGATGAACTCAACTTTCTGTGACTTGGAAGGTAGTTCACCGAAAACCACAAAAAATATTCGCTTTATTCATGTTTGAACTTTCAATATCATACTTAGAGACGTAAAAAGAAACCTTCTTTTCCTAGTAGAAAAATATCAAAGTAATAAAAAATGTCAAAATAAATAATCAAAATATCAAAAAATATCGAAAAATATCAAAAATGAATATTATTTGTGCAAAGTTCAATTTAAATATTACTTATATCAACTTTTATTTTCAATATATATCTGAAAAAAATATTGTTATTTTTTCACAAGAATCATTTCGTAAAAACATTTGGTTTTTCTGTTTACAAATCTCTCTAATCGTAGTAGTCATATTATATTGTTTTCTCACGGAGGTGCAACATACTATGTATGTATCGAATATACCCGACTTATAAAGTTATAACAATGAAAATAAAAATATTGTAACAAATTTTTTTGTTACGAGTCGAAACATCAGATATTTAAAGAATACAATTCTATCAAGCAAATGTATCTTTGTTAGTTATAATTGTAACTAGTAAAATGTTGGAAATTAAGTAAATAGAAGTTGCAAAAAACATTTTTTGCAAAAAGTCGAGCATTGCATATCAAGAGTGGTATTAAAGGATTTGTACTTTTATCTCCGAGTCACAGAATTATCTGGATTATTCCTATTCCAGAATATCGATTGATTTATTTAGCATATGAAGTTAAATGTACAATTTCCTTTTTCTAACAATTCAAATGATTAATACTAGATTTAGATCGATTTAATTGAATAATTAGTTGCAAACCATTTTATTTTCGTCGGATACCTTGCCACTGCTCTTGGCACGAACACATGGACACGTCGAAGAAGAGAATCCACTTTCGCGCGAATGTCCCTTGTCTCATCGTCGAAAAGCTGCGAAGAGATGGAATGTGAAACGTTACTTGTATGAATGAATCGATCAATCTCTTGCATGCATTTAGAGTTTGATCCTTGTAATGAATTATTTTTCAAATTTGTATTTTTTTCGTATTACATCATATTTTAAGGATAGGTACTTGATAATATAATGGTTTAATGTTTTAACTCGGTATTTATGATAACGTATCAGTTACACGCAAAGAATCGGATTTAACTGCATGTATTGTGTCAATAATAACGACAAATTGCGAAGAATAAGAATATCAACGACAGCATCAGCTCTTTTATTTTTTTAATCTAATAAGTTTGATTAATAAATTAAATTAATAAATAATAAATTCATTATTTAAATTAATAAATTAATTTAAAATAAATTATGAAAAGAACTTCGTCCATTATATATATAGATTTAGTCCGTCCGTATATACAGAGTCGTATGTCAAATTGTAGGGTATAAAAAGTAAATGAAATTATCCAAATGCCAACAGCTAAAACAGCTACAGATCATTGTTAGGACTTGGTTAATGTGATATACGAGGTATATTAATTTTGCTATTTATGCTTTTAATCGATTGATGGTCTTTTATTACACAGTTAAAAATACTTCTAGATCCTTTTTTCATCCAATCTCTTACTTCATCAGATTTATTTCTGTATCTCCCCAAGGCACCTCCTCGCAATGATGGCACATATAAAAATGGTGTTCGCACTATAAATAATTGTTGTGCCTATATCATGTTATTCATGAAGACATATATGGATATCTTCCAAGGAGAATATTACATATTTTTCAGCTCTGCTATGATGATGAGTGTGAATGAATAGAATAATATCTTTAAAAGACTATTTTTTTGACAGGGATTTAGAGAAACTACTTAATATATATTTATATTGTTATGTACATAAAATGGTATATAATTGATATAACTATACGCCAAAATGGCCGAAGTTCTTTACGATTAAAAAATTTTTGCAACTTTTAATTTATCATGAAAGACGGATTGCACATCCGTTGCAACGACGCAATTCCGCCCAGGATGTCTAACGTAGACAAATGTTGATGAAAAAGAATGGTGATGTTGTTGATGGCGATGGAAATGACGATCGTACAATAATGATGACATACGAAATCTTACCATGTATTTTTATGAATCTAAACTGATTTAGATCAGAGAGAAAGAGAGAGAGAAAGAGAGGGAAAAATGATATTAGACTATTAGCTGCCGGACTTACTATGTTGTATCGAGAATTTAGATACTCTTCAATGTAGGATCGACTAGATGGCCTCGGCAGGTCGCGTATCCTGTTGAGCTCAGCTGTGAGGATGCTGGGCCGCACGCGCGTTCGCACTCTTATCGGTATCATAGCGCCAGCGTAGTACACATGATGGATTGGCGAGTGAACTATGGTGACGAGTCTCTTGTGTGCCACATATGGCATGTGAGGATAGCTCCTCAACTGGAGGCAACGAACGTCTCGTTTTTACTAATCATGCTCGCCCAGCAATGGCGAGCTGCCAAGCGACTATCTTGCTACGAGTCAAGATGCTAAGCGATTTACCCTTTTGATGACGATTAAATTATACGTCTATTTTTATACGTATATTATTATAAATGTAAATTTATATGCTTTTTGGGAACACAAAGGAAGTAAATCAAGAGAATTGTTTAATTCAAAAAGTGGTTGGAAATGTTTTGTTAGATAAAAATTCAAGACGATAAACACCTTGAAGCTCTTGCTTGAGAATCATTCAATTAATTATAGAAAAACATTTTTTTTTTATAAGAAAAAGATATTAAAAAGATTCAAAAAGATTCAATAATTCAAGAATTTTTAAATTGGATCCGATATATATATATATATATCTAAATAAAAAATTTTACTTTATATTATCTTTAAAATTTACAATTTTTAAACTTTAACATTATAAATAGGTAATTTATATTATTATTTCTTACATAAATAAAAAACCGTCATCAAAAAGGATTAAGAATAGCAAAGCGTAGCATTCGATGTGTTCCAGCGATGAGCAGCAACCAAATGATCGATATGTAAATGGCATGGGTTGCACACGAAAGGTCTTAATTATATCAAGGAAGCTTTGAACATATGTTCACGGTCTGTCACGAACGAGAGCAACGGGGATTAAGCGGTGCGTTACATTACCTTGAATTACGCGTGACACCATGAAGATGAATATTACTGCGATGAGGTAGCGCTTTAGAATTAGTAAACATCGAGATCTGAAATTAATTAATGCAAGACGCGTGAAATTAATTAGCATGAGAGCGGCAAAGCGTCGTTACATCTATTTCACAAGTGCTTTTTCTAGAATTACCTACAAACTTTGCGTAATATCCTGTTGATATGATAATACGCAATACGAGAATTAACGTGGTTGATTATACATATAGAAAGATCACAAAATTCTCGAGCATAAAACAAATTACATATTTATTATCATCGCGAGGTGTTATTACTATCGAAGACAAATCAAATGATTGATCGACGTTCCTTTAGATTACGTATATGTATACACTATCAGTTTTTAAGCTTTATGATTTTTAAATTATTAAGTTTCCAAAATCTAAAATTAAATTAATAAACATACATTTGAATAATTTAGGCCCAATTTTTATTATTTTTTTATAAGATTACTTGAACTGTACTAACTGTATTTATCAAATTTTATTCATATTATTTATTATATCGATTATTTTATATTTTAATATACGTTTATTATATTTGGATTATATTTTTACGTAGTTATTCTAATTGTAGTTATTCGAGAGACGTCGATCTAGTTGTAAAATCGCGCAATGAGATACCAGTCGATTCTGATTGTCGATTTGCATTGAGAATATTAAGTAATGTTAATGAAAATTGATCTTTAAAAGCATCTTTAAAACATTTTTTTAATTTAATTATATTGTACGATTAACCTTTTGGTGTCACTCTGTATTGTTTTATCACGTATCTACTACACCGGGTATTGTAAAAAATATCATATAAAAATGAGCATATAATTTTTTTCAATTGGAACGTCAGACATTATACAGTAACAAGTAAATGTGTATATCTTTATTAATAAAAAGGTTATAGCACAACAAAGTAAAAGAAACTTCCGTTGTGCCACACTAGGAGTGACATCGAAGGGTTAAAATGTTCGCAAGACAATTTTAGAATTCAAAAATTCAAATTTACGCGAAGTCTTTTAAAGACAAACGAATTGGTGGCAAGTTACTTGATTGTTTAAAAAATACAATACAAACCAACACAATAAGTTTTATATTTTATTGAGTACTCCATCTCGTTAGGAACCCTAAATCGAGATGGAAGTACGAGTTGAAAAATCTACGACGCGGATATCAGAATCAACGATCGCACCTGTTGCGCTTCCGGTAACGATAGTCGAGCATTCGTTGCATACTAAAATCGTAAACCATCAGGTAGAAAGTACCTACCTGAATGACGCTGGAGAGCGGTATGATGGTAATGGGTCGATACTGCGCCGCGTTTACAGACATGGGGAGGGTGTTTTACATATATATATATTTTTTTATTTTATCCATCGGGATTTCCAACGATGGCGGCGTCGATGGCGATGGCGGCAGTGACGGCGGCGGCAAGGGACGAGGAGTCACATGTGGGAGGCAGAGTAAATAGAAAGAAGAATAACTCGGTTAGTGACTCGGGTAGCGTCCGCGTATCGTTCTTTCTTCTTCGTTCTCGTTTTTCTCGCTATCCCGTTTGCCTCGCGCTCGCTCTTAACGGCGTCTCAAGAGAGTAGATCAGGAGGGATGAAAAAAAGGTCTCACCCCTCCCATGAGAAAAGGAAAAAGAGGAAAGATTGTAGGAAGGCTCGTATATATGCCGCGACGGATTTCTTTTCGTGACGCTCGAGGTAACCGACTTTGGCCAATTGTCGCGTTGTGTGTCTATCGAAAGGACGACGGTAATGAAAATGATGATGGTGTTGCTGATGACAATGATGACGATGATGATGGTGATGATAATGATGATGACGATGATGATGACGATGAATGTTGTTAGTAAAGTTTACTTCGCGAGAAGACTGCCAAATGGAAAGTAGCTCTTAATGGCCTGCTATGACATCGCAGAAAATAACCATAATTTCAGGGGACAAGATAATACAATTCAGTTTTAACTTTCCAGAATATGTAGAATAGTCTTCAAGAAATGTAGCTAGTACATGTATATAAATCACTATACGCTTAAAGAGATCTTAAAGTGACAGAATTATTGACATTACGGGTTAGAAGATTTTCTAAATTGGCTGTACAGAGATTGTAAAATCCTTTTATACAATTAAAATATGTACTTACAAAAGAGACAGAAGAGTGCAAAACGGTCGATTTAACAAGATAATCGAGAAAAAATTACATATAGTATTATTGCTATTTTTTAATGTTTTTTTCCGTTAAAAGAACTGTCTCGCACTCTTTTCTAATGCATTTTTTATGTATTTTAATTATGTAAAAGAATTTTTAAATGCGCTATACTGTAGCCAATTCAAAGTATTTTTTTATCTGTATCGTCGATAAATCTGTCACTTTGGGATTCCTTTAAAGATACTTAAATGATTATCAATAAAAATTTAATTATTTCTCTAACTTATTTTAGAAAAGTTCAGATATTAATTTTGAAGCAATTTAATTGAAATCTTTTAATATTAATAAATGGCGTGATGTTACTGTAAGTATCACGCCAGGTTAGTCCGTAAAGAATTAATTAAAATCTTCTATTATTATTCCTTATGCTTCTTTATTATTCAATTCTTATATTATCTTAAGATAATATCGCGCGCATGTCTGGCGCTCAAATAAGAAGCGATGTCACATAAAATATTGTTTTATCTACTTTATACTACTTTTTCTCATTTTCTGAAATTATGGTTGCATAAAGAATGCAATGGATATCTCATAGGATGACGCATTTTTGTAGGATGTCGGGGCGACACAAGATTGAGACTCATTACTCTAGAAATATGATAAAGAAAAAACGTTCACTTAGGTTGTACGACAAATAAAAACATCCCCAAGGGAAAAAAAAAGGCGTAAGTTAGGGGCCATAGCACACGAAAAGCTTAAGCGATAAAATCTAAGCGAATTAGCCAATCTCAATAGAAATCATAACGTAAACAATAGTCAATCCAACGTATTGATTTTCTCACTGCTTACGCCTTACTGCTTAAGTTTTTTTTTGTGTGCCATGGCCTTAAGCATATTCTACAATATGCTCTTTGTTTCCTGTTTCTTGCTTTTTAGTTCTTGATTTCTTCCCTCTTTGCAACCGTTTCATTGACAATTATATTTCTTGCCACGTATTTCTTGTTTCTTCCGAAGTTCGTTAAGTTTTACTCGGGTGACAGAAAATAAAAGACGGGATAAGAGATAAAAACACAAAATGTAAAAAATAGCAAAAAGCAGGAAACAAAGTGCACATTGTAGAACAGACATTACGCTAATATTTCATTTATCGTATAACAAACTTTTTAAGTATTGTCTTTTATTTACAGATTACGTTACAGATTTAAAAATTGAAATTAAAATTAAAACGTGCCGGTTTGATAAAAGTTCAGATATAAATTTTAAAACAACTTAGTTAAGATCTTTTAATATTTTGCATCCTGCAGAATGGACACGACAGCTACACGTTCTTTCATAAATAAATATAATTAAAATGACTACGTAATAGAGAAGTTTTCGAATTTTTTTAAAATTTTTGTCTTATAATCGATCAATATATTTGAAAAATTTGTAGTATAACAAATGAAATATTAGCTTTAGAATGGAGCAGGTATTAAGAGGCAGACATTTAAATTACACACAAACCATTGCACAATCTGCAAGACTTGGGATGCCTGCAGGCAGCTTTCGATTCACGATTGAGTATTGACGTCAAAATTCACATAGGATAGATACAAATCTTTACAGTGCTGTTTTATACGATTTATTGCCGTGGTTGTTTACAATTTTCGCGTTGCGCGTCAAGCGCGAAATTCTGGAAAGCTCGTTCGAGATTCATGATTTACAAAGTCAGATGTACATGATATATTTTTAGGAGATCAGAAGCCTGCTCTCTATATCTTCGATTATCGCACCAATTATTACTAAATTCAAAAAAATATCAGCAAAATGTAACTCTTACTATTTATAGCGCGACTAGCTCTTAATTTATCTCTAAATGCAGCTGCGTGATGCTCTATCTCCAACTCGGGCTACGGCAACAGCGATAATTACAACAGAATAATAACATCAAGAACATCAGGAGTCTTCCTGTCGATCGCTGATGCTCATTCAAAGCGCGAAATTCGTCATCATTTTTTTTTATCAAAGACGTTTTTAAGAAAATCAAGCGTACAAAACTGACACGAGGAGAGAGACAAAAAGGAATTCTAGGTCGACATGCGACAAAAAAAAAACGATATTCCGCTTTTATCGATATCGACGACCAAATCAATATCCATTTGAAATTCTGCGATTTTCAGTTTAATAATTTTCAGTTCAATAAACAAAATATAGCGAAGTGATCTTTCTTGCGGAGAAAAAAGTACATTTATTTTCAATATACTTTACACGTTCTTGTCGTTACTGCCACTAGATTTAACTTAGCAATCTCTGTTGAGAGGAAATCTCCGTCGACGATTTGTAAGATCTAACATTGTAATTTTCATCGAAAGGGGAAACTATCTCCGTCATCGATGAGTATCTGCTCTAAAGCATTCTTCCAAATGGCACGACTCGATTTCCGTGTATTTCTCGACTACCAGTCGGTTTCACTAATACCGCAGGGCGTATTTATGACGTTCGAGTTTACATGTTCCTCAACATAGAACAGATGTACCACGAATAGCGCAGGTTTGTGGCATTTCACGTCGGAAATGATATATCATTCACGCCTTGAGAGATACCGTATATAGACTCGTTAGCGTTGAAAAATTGTCCGATGCGATAGCAGAGAATGTGCAAAGGTCGTCGAGATCGATGAGAGCGGAAATGCGATTGACGTGAGGGGGGGTTACGCCGGGGATCTAAACGCGGTAGGAGTAATGGCGGTAGCTAGTGCCGCCAGGTAAACGACCGGAAGCGGTGGACTCGTAGGAGGAGCGATAGCTCCCGGGACCGCCGCCGGATGATGTCCTGGTTGACCTTTCGGTCGAGTACGAGCCGTACGGGCCGCTCTCCCTTTTAACGACGCTCTCCTGGGTCTGCGAGGTCCTCTGAGGACGGCCGGTGTACGGATCCGTGGAGCTGCTCGAGCTGGTGTTGGTGTACGAATAGCTGTACTGCTCTTGGGCGGACCTCACTCCGGGCTCCGGATAGTCGCGGACCACATAGTGACGAGGCGTCTACGGATTCGGGGTTAGATCATGGTCAACGACATGGAGGAGAACGGGCTCGCTTTCGGAAAAACGAAGCGGCCTCCGTTGACGAGTAACGGTGATTTAACTTTTGCACCTGGCAAACGACATCGAAATGCAAAGCAACATAACTCCAATCGACGGAATATTGTCTAGGAAGCATCATTCAAGATTATCGATAAACGATAGAAAAATTACAGATAAAACCGTAAAATGTATCTCCATAAAGTATCCCCCGAAAAGTTACAATAACATCACAATAAAATCACGATGTTATAGTGTCCATTTTGTCACAGGTGTGATATTACTAATTATTATATGAAACTGTGATAAAAATTACAACTCACTGTGATACTGCTGTAATATACATAGATTAAAAAATAATAATGTGATAATCACTGTAAATCACTTAATAATCACTGTGACCTTTTTTGATAATCTCACAATGATAACATTACAATTTATCCATAACTATTGTGAATTCATTGTGACATTTTTTACTATGGGGGAGTAACTTTGACCCAAAATTAAAACAATGCCTAGATAGCATACATGTTTAAAATTAGGACATAAGACGTCTTAAATGTTTTTAAGACATCTCGATTTTGACACGTGTGCTATTTGAGCATAAAAATTTCCAACTAAAGTTATCCCGGATTTTGGGCCAAGGTTGTCTCATTTTACATAAAGGCAATATTTAGATAGAAAAAATTATGTTAAGGAATTATTTAATATAATAAAATTTCATAAATGATAATGATTCTAATTTTATAATGTAAATTTCTACAATTTTTCTTTATTTATTCAAGCCTTGGGCATGAATATATGTAAGAATTATGTGCCAGACATTATTCTCGTCTCAGGACGACCCTTGCGGTTTTCCATCGGCGGGCAAATGGATTGTCGGAGCGGGAAGTAAGGTTGCGTCAAAAAAATCTATACAGATTCTGTTCACTTGAGAGGTATCATGATCGATTTACCTGGTCGGAGAACAGGTTGAATATTAAGACATTTATAATTTTGAAGTTATAAGAGAAAATATAAGGCTTTCTCTAAAATAATTAAATTTTAAGTAAAATTGTATTTTTAACTTAATTTTCAGTAGATTTTAGGTAGACTTTT